GACATATCATGCTTCGAACACACTTTAAAAGTGAAGGGTATTCCGAAACAGGAGGACGTGAGTCAGTGCGGAGTGTTCATGCTCACTTATGCATCTCTTCTGGCGAGAGGCAAGGTGCCATCATTCAATTTCACAATGGACGATATACAGGGCATTAGACGAAGGATCGCAATAGACTCAATAGCTTCGTGATTTGCAAATTTGAAATTGCACCGTATTCGTTCAGTGTTGTCGTAACTGATAGTAGTTCAGAGCCTTCGATAGGTTATGGGTATCCTCTGATATTATTATACACTGAAGAAAACGGAGACGGATTGGAAAGCCTTTGAAGAAATCCACGAAAGACATTGGCATAATATCATTTGGACTCACACTGCTCGTTGATGATGTATGTTGTATGATGGACTCGTACGGTAGAGGATATAAGGGACCATAGTTGTGGTGTATGGTCATTTTCTTATGGGATATGGTATACGAAGAACATGTGATGGTAGCCATCACTGCAAAGAAGGAAGTCACTCAAACTTAAGTGTGGTTGTGAACTGGGGGTACCGTATGATGATATATGTTGTATGATGGACTCATACCATAATTATGGTGCATGGTCTGTGATAGATGATCCTACCATCTAATGGGATATGGTATACAGTCAAAATGCGATGGTAGCCATTACTGCAAAGAAGGAAGTCACTTATTTTCACACAAAAACATAGACGAAATTGTCAAAGTTCAATTTCGCGAAAATAGTAAAAAATGTCAATTTTAACGAAACGTCAGTTCATATTACTTGTCACTATCGGTCATGATTGTGGTCTCTACGTTGATGAACGTGCAGGCTGAATGTCACTCATATTACTTGTCACTATCGGTCATGCTTGCGGTCTCTACGTTGATGAATGTGCAGGTCTGCGTAAAAGACCGTGAAAAACGTCTCGCATGCACTCTCAAAGGAACAGTGACAATAATATTATACGTCGTGGTTTGCAAGCCTTATCAACGCTGCCATTGTTGGCCCAAAAAGTTAGACGACGCACCGAATACATGACGATCCCGTCTGTGAAGCTAACTGCTCTAAGGATGTTTAAAGTTGTGGGAATAAACACCAAACAAGGGAAGAAATTGCACTATGAAGGTTGTACGTTGTCTACTGTGAAATGCAACAGCGACAGCAAAGTAGGCAAACAAGCACCGTCATGAACTCGTGTCCACTTCTTGTATCGATTTAAAAAAACGCATCACTTGTACAAAAGTTTTAGATATACCGTTGTTGTTTACGTGTGTGTTTATATGAAGTGTCTGGCCGGTCGTTCAAGATTCCTCTAGCAACGGAACGCCTCACTGAGGTCGAGATGCAGTATGTTGAAAGGACTGCGAGCACCGGTGAAGATAACGAAGAATACGGCATCGTTGTTTACAAGGGTGACTGAAAGGTGAAAAAGAAAAACATCATGATCATCATCGAAGAAAAATGATGGTTGAGTGACAAAGTCGTAAATTTGTATTTTTCAGTCATCCAGATCGACAACGATAATGCCAGACAAAGTTTGATGTTCATAGAAGAGATTAGAGACGAGAGTTCCAATGACATTCCATCTGTGTATATTTTAGATTCATTTTTCTATGTCAGATTGACATCCGCAGTGTCCAAAAAAATTGCTTACTGTGAGGGAATGAAGTGGGTCAAGGGAAAAAATACTTTTGATTTCAACTTTGTACTTATCTATCTGAACTTTGAAAACCATTGGGTTTTGACATGTGTTAGAATAAACGGTTGCAAATGTGAATTCCTCCTTGTAGACTCTCTCCGTCGCGCTGACCGCCTCGCACCGCTTGAGCTATTAACCGTGTTCTATAGAATGAAGTTCCAACGTCAAAATCTTCATGAAAGATATCACGTGGATGACCTTACGACATCTTTCGAGATATTGCTTGATGAGGTGCCCGTCCAACATGATGGTTGTAGTTGTGGTGTTTTTATGTTAGGTTTTGCATCTTTGCTAGTGAAATGTCACTTTCCTCCATTCAATTTCTCACAAGACAACATTCCGTATATGAGGTATAGAATCACATTCGACATTTTGTCGATGGTCTAGCATGAGTGAACATTCCAGATGCGCGGAGTATGATATCATTCAACACTTTGTTGATGGTTAAGAATAATTTCAATGGTTGGTATGTGTCATTCAACATTTTGTTGATGGTTAAGAATTGTTTCAATGCTTGGTATGAATAGTTCCAATGGTTGGTATACGTCATTCTACTCTTTGTTGATGATTAAGAATAATTTCAATGGTTCTTATGTGTCATTCAACACTTTGTTGATGGTTAAGAACAGTTCCAATGCTTGGTATTGTTTTCCACAATTTCAAAATATTATTATATAATGATATATTTCTTAAAATTTTCAATGCTAAGCTTTCACCATTTCGCCTTGTTTCATCGTTTTTTTCCTTTTTTCCTCCTCTCTTATGTGTGTCATTTTACACTTAAAAGAAAAAGTGAACATGAAAACAATTTCACTTTTAACGAAAAAAACATTGTGTGAAGATGAGTGCATAATGCTGCGCATTGCGGTCCCGGCAAGCGGTCCGTGGTCGCGAAAGGAAGCCATGCGAAATCCTTGGACATGAGCGGGTCCAATACCTCTATATTGAACTCACGCACCGAATCCCATGAAGAACCACTTGAAGGCGATAAGTTGTCGTTGTCAGACGGAAAAGATGCAGGACACACGTCTTATCCTTGAGCATGAGTACCCAGTGTAGGAATGAGTCGGGAAGCATAGTCCTCAAAAGAATAAAGAAGAGGAGGACTATTGACTTCCGTATGTGCCTCAGAACGAAGAGCGGTCACCCGCGAAGTGACCGGTTCCGAGGGCGTCGAGAATGTCGTCAACTTACTCCCGGCGGTGCTCCGTTTTCCGATTTGCCCTTGCCTTTCGACGGGCAGCCCATTGTCTCGTGGAGATCGCTGTTACACCACAGACAATAACAAAATTTCGTGAGTGCCTTGTATGCTTGGTTGGAGAGACCGTATTGGGACCATGAGGCTGGAGCTGTTGTGCCAGACCAGAAGCTAGGTGCGGTGTTTATCTTCGTCTTGCCTCGTCCTCGGCCTTTGCCAGGGCGGCCACCATCCCGGGTGGCTGCGAGTCTGTCCCCTTCATTGGCAGACACGGCCTCACTAGTTTGGTCGACTGGCGTTGCCGCTGCGACCACGACCACTTTCGGCCGATGTTAATCTCTGCTCGGGCCTATCGCAAACAAACGATGGAGGTTCTTAGCCTTCTCGTTCGTCACAATAATCTGCGTGACCTTGTCAAAGAACTCCGTCGGTATCGTCAGGGTGTTCTCAACGTGAGTCAAGGCATTGCCCAACGCCGGACACGACCTCGAGATGAAGTAATGTTTGATGACTTTGAAGCCCATTTGAATGTTTGAGACGGGTGTCAAGCGTTCGTACTCGGCAATCCAGTCAACACTCGGCAGCGTGCCTTGTTCGAAGACCATCAGCTTGTCCATTGCCTTGATCTCCACCGGCTCTACTTGGAACTGCTTATGCCACGCCGCCTTTATATCATCCCTACTGATCTTGGTATCCAAGTCGGCAGCCACCACTCCGTACTTGGACAGGAGATTGTCCAGCCATGCTTGGCACGCGCCCCCGAGCGGGAGTATAAGTACGCGTGATGCTTGCGCTCGCGGACGTAGTGTAGCTGCAACTTGAGCTCGAACTTACCAAACCACGGAATCCGCCGTTTTCGTCGAATCGCAGAAGATCTCCTGATCATCAAACTTCAGAGTTGTCTCGCGCGGTTCCGATCTCGAGTGAGTGGCAGCAGTACATATTTACTGCTCCAATTGTTGCGTGGCGTTTTGTTGTAACTGCACGCCGTCCTTGAGGGATCCGACGGCAATCTCCAATGCCTCGAGGCGATCGGAGGTGTTGGAAGAGCAAACAACGAGGGCGGCGACGGTTTGTTCCAGCTGCTGGAGGCGGCTGGTGAGTTGGTCAAACACCTGATTGTGTGTCTGAACCGCATCGTCGAGGTTGTGAATATCCTCATGCTGTACAATGCACGTGGTCAGGAGGTCCGTGGGATGGAAGAGAAGTAGAGCGATCTTGATTCCACTCTCTTCCAACTTCCCATTCTCAGCCTCGGTCCGCCAGTCCGCTGTCATTGTGAGCAAAGCTCGCTCTCCGCTGAATATCTTCTCGTGTCGTTGAAGTCGTTCTTCATCGGCAACCTTCATTGCTGCCTCATCTTGTTGGTGCTGCTGTTCAATTGCCAACAGATGTGCCTGCTCAGCGTCCTCTGCCTTCTTCTTTGTTGCGGCTGCTACTGCATCCGACCGTTGCTTGGCTTCGGTAATCAGAAGAAGCATCTGGGCCTGATAGGCATCGTCCGTTTCCCCGGACTTCTGGCCCATGACGGCTGTTTGCGAGCGCAAGAACATAGACTAGGTCGGGGGTCTGCTGACGTGGCACTGCTGTCGGCTGGCGTGGCCTGCTGACGTGGCCTGCTGTAGTGGCCTGCTGACGTGGCCTGCTGACGTGGCAACTTACCAATGCCGCCGCAGAGGGTACCCGGAGACAGATAGAGAAGGTAAGACCAGAGGGGGCAAGAACATAGGTGGGGAGGGGTGGGTGGGGTAAATCGCCCAGATAAGGAGCCACTAATAAAAAAAAGAAAAGTTTGAACTTCGCAAAAAAAATCGAGAAAAAGAAAAATATACTCGTTTGCAAGTTCAGTAGGCCTCCCACTTCCCCCTAAAATGCGAAATTACCCTGAGGAAAAATTTCAAACTTTCAGACAGCAAATGATTATCCGATTAGAATTCCGAAAAAAGTAAAGTACAACAAATATTCGGAATTACTCAGATGAGAGTACGCGCAGTTTGGAAAATGATAATTGCAAGAGGTATTTCCCGTACCGTTTTCAAAAAAACGGATTTCGAAAAAAAAAATTCCGGATTTCCAAATAACGGGAAATTGTAAAAGAAAATCAAAATTTTCGAAAAAAAAAATATTTCGGATTTCCAACAACGAAATTTCGAATTTTCAGAAGAAAAACGAAAACGGAAATTTCAGGTGTTGTGCTATTGCGATTTTCCACAACACAAATAGCGGGAAAACAAAATCCAAGAAAAAAATAAATTTTAATTTTCGACAGTGAGGTCAAAATAGTGATTTTGGGGGCTGACTAGTGTGCTCTAATAAATCAATCAAGACTAATCAGCTACTTAGTCATCGCACACGTGTCAGAGCAGGTTGTCCTGATTCACGTGTGGTGTTCCGATACCAACTGTTACATGCCCAGTTGGGCGATGTGCATATAAAACCAAGGATACGCAATGTGATGAAAATGACTGAATGGACAATGAAGTGCAAGTGAAATCTCAACAAGCAGTGTACATCCTGATGCATACAAAAATGGTGCTTTATAGTGCAGTGGAAGACTTTAGATACAAGTCCTGACCTGACCGGGACTGACCTCTATCACGTTGTGCAAAACAGCGCAGCAGAATGCTAGGATACTAATAACTAGCCCAATCAACGTTGCAACGGAGACCCAACATACATCATTCTCATCACAAGGTGTCAAGGGGCCTGGCATGGCGCCAGGTCCAGATCATGCACAAACGAAGAGGAGGGGAATAAACGAAGAAGAGGGGGAGAGATGTGAATGTCGTCAACACCAAGTCTTTGTTATAAGTCCCAAATAATCCCTCGTCAAAATGTCTGAAGCCCAAATGTCGAGTCAGGATCCAAATGTCACCAAGCTCTCTCTTTCTCTTGTTGTTTGTTGGTGCAGTGAAGTCGGGTAGCGAGAGGGTGAGAGGGAGATGGTGGACTGAGAAGAGGAAGAAGGAGAACTCTCTCTCGCTCATATGCCAGGTACTAACCTGTGATGATGGCGTTGTGCTGCAGGTACCTCGAAGGCGAAGCTGGAGCTATAGCGCTGCAGGTAAGTATCCTTGGCCCCCTCCCAATCTCTCTCTCTGTAGTACTACTCTAGTTCATATTGCGCCCAGCGCTGAAGACTACTGCTAATGCTATTAGCGCCCAATACTCAAGGCTACTGCTAGCGCTTCTACTACTCCTGCAGCGCTCCTCCAGAGTGCTGCCGCTGAATCCTGAAGACTACCTCCTGCCTCATGAATTGCACGTGAAGTGTCTAAGAAGTACCTAGGAGCTACCTGCCGGTCTCAACAGAAAAAATGTGTGATTTTTCATCGAAAGTTTAGCGTACGTCGATGCATGCAACCAACTGTTGACTATGTGTATATTTTCTGTTCGCCTTGGGACATGTCATGTGGTACACAGGAAGTGAAGGAAAAAAATAATTTTTGTTTATGTTACACATGAGATGGTATGTGGGTCAGTGTTGAACCCAATGTTGGCAGCGTGTGGGTCAGTGTTGAACTCAATGTTGGCAGCGTGTTGAAATTTTGTTGATCAACTGTTGAACATCGAACGATATGTTGAAGTCGTGATCGGAGGTGGACCCCCGCGATTCCCCAAAAACGGCCTCACAACGCATTGTGGTGAATTGCGATCATTATTGATGTCACCTAGTTAGTGTCCGTACCCGTATTCCTCTTCCATTTTACGCCGATACTGAAATGTATGAAGATATTGCAGTCTAGATATGTGCATTTTGTCCTCTCTTCCACTACCTGAAATAGAGTATCTTTATTGGTTCACTACTAGGGGCCATTTTTCTTTTCTTCTCACCGTCGTACATTTGTCGTGGCTCACACTAGTGAACCACTTCATATACATGTTTGACACTTATGATGCATGTGGCACGAGATCTATGGTGATTTTGTCTTTACTTCTTAGTTTAATAAAATAAACAAAGGAAATTGACAGCCAAACATGTATCGACACAATAAACTAAGATTGGGTAGGACCACTATTGACCACATTCTTTGTCCATCAGCCGTGAAAAGGTAGTTGTCAAGAACGCTTGCATACAACCGCTGGAAGCTACAAGTAAAAGAGGGTGAATGACTTTTATTATTAACATGTAGCTACAACATAAAAATGACGGACGATCATATTATTCCGCAACAAACCACGAGGTATGTGCATTTTGTTATACATCCCAGTACAAAGGAATTGACTCTCATCATTGGATCACCACTACGGCCCATTTTTTCTGTTCTTCTCTCCAGTACCTGAAATTGACTCTTGTCATATATGCATTTTGTTATGCATCCCAGTAGAAGAAATTGACTCTTGTCATACATCAATTTTGTCAATCATCCCAGCACCGGAATAACTTTATATAAAAAAAAAAAAAAAAATTAACAGCCAAACTGGTATCGACACAATAAGCTAAGATTGGAAAGGACCACTATTGACCACATTCTTTGTCCATCACCCGTGAAAAGGTAGTTGTCAAGAACACTTGCATACAACCACTGGAAGAAACGACTAAAAGAGTGTGGAGGAATGTTATTATTAACATCTATATACAGCATCAAAACGACTGACGATCATATAATACCGCACAAACGACAAGATGACTCCGATAAATACAATATGAACATGGCGGATGACCGTCATTGTCAGAATCAGTCTCCTGATAAATACACATAAAAAATTCATCAAAACTCGCGAGTGAAACTTTGAATCATCTCTCTCTCTCTCGTTGTCTCTCTCTCTCTCTGTCTCTCTGTCTCTGTCTCGCTCTCTCTCTTCTCTCTCTCTCTCTCTCTCTCTCTCTCTCTCTCTCTCTCTCTCTCTCTCTCCACAGTTGTGAAGTCTCATGATACATGTCACATCTGCAATATTAGTCTCCTGATAGATGCCACATAAATACATGGCGTACTAAAAGTTCGACCGCCCCTAAGTTCAAGTATAGTGCACTGCTGCATCGCACGTGCCGTCACGAACTCAGTATTACAGTCTTGCAATTGAAGTTTCTGTCTCTCGTTCTCTCCCTGATTCGCTGTCACGTGGTTTCGCAAGAACTTCAAACTCGTAATCATCTTTAGTGATATTTGTGACACGAGCCGCATTGCTTTGCCTGCTGGGTATTCCTGCGTGGAAGAATGTCACAGCCTTTTCTGCAACCGATGTTGTGCAATCAAACTTGAATATTGAAAAACTCATTACGGTGTCGCGATTACGCACTGACGCCACAATATCCTGCTTAATTGATGCTAATTTCTGAATCCGCTCTAATGCTTTGTTTGTCTTCTTAGTCTGTTCAATTTCAGACCGCACAGCAAGTTCTGCAAATGCCAGTTGTTGCAAGGTCATCCCGACCCCTCCATCATCCCTTCGCATTTGAAAAACTTTCTTTATCGCTGTCTTGAATGGTTTTGCACCGCACGGATCATTGCCCAGTTGTCTCCATGACTTGTTTGTGTGCATTTCTACTCGCAAGTTCTTGCGCACTTCCTGTTGGTGGTCCATTTCTGCACATCGCAAGAGTGGTAGCCCTTTCTCTGCCCAAAACCAGTGTTTCAACTGCCATGTTCTCTCTCCTCTCACCGTTGTCATGACTATGTTACATTCCACCAACATTGACCGCACTCCTATACTATCCACATACATACTGAGTCCCTCCTTCATATTTCTCCCTAACATGTTTTCTGCTGATTGCAGAGATGCGAAGAAGTCGTCCTCCGAGGGGTACATCGTTGCATCCTTCGCCGCAGTGAATGCATACGCCTTTGCGATTGAATGAAATAATATATTCTTTGCTTTCTCAGGAAAATGTACATTGCCTATGTCGTTTGTCTGCTCGTGGTGTCTTTTTTTTCTCTGTATGTTTGACGGTTCCTCGACAATGTCGCCCCCTGGTAAGAGACAACGGGCAGATGTAAAAAGACAGCAAACAACGTACATGCCAAGACAACACACGATTTTGTTAATAGTTTTGTAATATTTCTTAACTCTCTTTGTGCATCATTAAAAGCACGAGATATACAAGATTTGAGGTTGTGAACTACTGTTTTAAATAATACACTTACGTTGTGGCGACGACGACTCCATGCGCACCAACTGCTTGTTCGTCTCAACGTTCTCTCCTTCAACCCCTCCTCCAAGTGTTCCTTCACTTTCACGTTTTCTCTTCAAATTACTCCATGATTTCTGGCTGTCCTCGTCATTGCTGTAGTATGAAGTTTCCTCTTCTTCATCATTGTTCGCGTCACTGCTTACATTGTCGCTTTCATGTTGTGCGCAACTCCCCTCTTCTTCTTTTGAATCCGTTGTGGTCTCTGATTCACTGTCACCGCCCTCGTCGTCTGTTCTCGCATTTTCCTCGCTTTCAGAACGAGAAGCGTCCTTCATGGACCACTGTGACAGGTTGTCTTCCGCTCGTGTGCTGCTTTCAACAACACTCGGCCCCCTCAAATCAATTGTTTCGATGTCTTTGTGAACTTTATTTACGCTTCGCTTCTTCTTTCGTTGTGTTCTTTCGTTGCGAGCACATGCAAGTCCTTAATCTGTGAAAGACTTTTTCTTTGGCGCTTTGGGTGGCTTGCTCTCGCGCCTTGCATGACCCTTTTTCGACTTTGGCATCACAAGAGGTGATTCCTCCCGTCCTTTCGATCTCTCTCTGTCCGTCCTTGTTGCAGGCACAGTCACCAATGCACGCTCCCTGCAGATCTCATTCTCCAATCGTCTCTTTGATTTCTCGTTCCCGCTTCGTCTGTGTCTCCGCTTTGCTATCTTCGAGTCGGACTTTGATGACTTTCTCACGCCTGATTTTTTCTCATGACGCTTGACGGATCTGCTTCGATCCTCGTACTTCAGCCTGGGAGCCATTATCACGCTATACGATAAACATCATTTCAAAGACACCAGTTTTAGGCACCACGAAATCTCAATCATTTTCATATTTTCGCAACACACACCTTTTTAGATCCACACACGCACACGCTCACACACACACACACACACACACACACACACACACACACACACAGGGAGAGAGAGAGAGAGAGAGAGAGAGAGAGAGAGAGAGAGAGAGAGAGAG